TTTTATTTTAATTTGATAGAGTGCAGAGTAATGGTCTGTTTCATAGCTGGTTCTTAGTTCTGATCCATATTATTACCATAAAGTTTATTATTATTTGCTTAAATATCATCCTTTTCCAATATCGTAAAGAACTCGTCATCACGGCCTAATTTTTGCTTCTTAAATAAAGTTTGCGAACCTCCAAGTCCCCTTGATAAATATCATTCCCCTTTCTGTTATCTAATTTGGATGCACTTCTAATTTGTCATAATTTGGCTTCTGTATAATTTACATAACCCAAGTACAACAACATAAAATACAAAAACTCCATAGGAACATTGTCATGGTATACGAATACATCTGGCATTTTTTAACATCTCCCTGTGAAAATTCAGAACTCCCTGCAGTTGGTATTCTTTACCAAATCAAAAAAGTGCTAATGTCCACCCGTGGTGTGTGTGTGTGTCCATACATTTCCAGGTAGTCGCATTTTGTATTCTTTTGTGTGTGGGATGAATGGTTGGCTGGCCGACTGTTTTGTGACTGACTATCTTATACGAGGTCTTTTGGTTATCTTCAAATCAAGATCTTCCATGTAAGTTATTGCCGCAACAACAGAAATTGGTCATACTACATTGTGGTTGGAATAATATTTGGTAAAGAGTTGAATGGAAGATTGCTACCATTTGTGTAGGTACCCAAAAAAGAAAACTCCAAGAGTGCAACATTCGTATTTTATATGTTGAAGAAGAATACAATGCAGACTACCAGAAAAAAGAAACTATGTCGTCAGGCACGTTACATTTGTATATATCTGCCTGTCCATTTCGTAGCTCACAATGCAAAATACCGTGCATACATAACGATGCGTACATTTTCATAGGTATATTTCACTTTGATGTTGTGCAGTTTTGCGACTGTGGCGTTTGTCTTCATTTTGTTAAGGTCTCAATATACAATTTTAAATAAGCAGTAGCGGGTGTTGAATAAATTAAATAAATACAAAATATATATTGCAAGTTTTTGGCAGCTACATGGCTAATTTCAAAAAACAATTGTGGCAAATTAAACATTTTCTAAATTATTTGCAAAGAAGAGAGTTTTTTCTTTTAGTTTCAGGCGCCATCGTAGAAAGATTTATTAAATAAATTATAAAACCAGTAGGGAAAGTAGTAAAGTCGGACGGGACCGACTATATGATACCCTTCATCACTTTGGATATATTCTACTCATGTCTCCTAACAGACGTCGCATTTTTAAAGGACCAGCAAAATGAAATTGGATCCATAAACATGTCATTCTGCAACCTATACTAATTTTTTCATTTGGTCAGATAAAGAAGCTATATCTAACTCTTAACCGATTACAAAAATTTCAGGAAATTTAACACACATCATTCTAGACCTAATTCATTACGTTGTGACAAATTTCGTGCAAACCGAAAAATATTAAGGGACTTTGGTACACCATTTACCTTAAGGGGACCCCCCCATTCTCGGGGTCAAAATTTTTGTTGACATAATTCGAATCTACACTGATTAAGGAATGTCTCTACAAAATTTCAAGTGAAAATCTCAAGAACTCTTGAAGATATATCCGATTTATTGTGTCCGCATCAAGTGACGGCTGAAGGGCTTCTCATACTTTAAACGCGTTTTTCTCTAAACATTTTTTTGCGAATGGCGGGCACGATAACTCAAAAACTAATAATCCAATCGGTTCCAAATTTTGCAACGTTTCTCTGGGAGTGTATAGCTCTCGTATGAACTAGGATAAAGCCAATCGGTGAAGATCTTCCTTATTTTTTAACTTGGTTTTTGGTCAAAAATCAGCGATTTTCCAAAAATATTTTTTCAAAGGTCCACCATTTTGTTAATTTTAGAGCGAAGTCAATAATCCTAGTTCATACGAGAGCCAGACATGTACTCTTTCTAACACCGTTGGAATTTTCGGATTCCGATGTTCCAGTGAGGAGTTGTCATGCCCGCCATCAAAAATAAGGACTTTTCTTTAATTACAAAAAACAACAACAAAACAATAACAAAATTTTGTTGTAAATTATTTTTCTTCTCTTTTAAATCTTCAATTGTATATGTGTAAAGTTACAAACCTTAACAAGCATTGGTATTGATTTACCAGCCCATTGAAAATCTTGAAAAAATAAAATCGAGAATGGGGGGGTTCCCTTAAATTGGACCAAAAAATATATATGGGAGCTATATCTGAACCGATTTTCACGAAACTTAACACACATTATTCTAGACCTAATGACATGTAGGGACATTTACATAAAATCGGACTGCACAGAATATGGGAGCTATATCTAAATATGAACCGATTTTCCTGAAACTCAGCACACATCTTTCTAGGCCTAATTCATTAGGCCTGAATGAAATCTAAATCTGAACCGATTTTCAGCAACATCATTCTGCACTTAATACAGAACGCTCTGCCAAATTTCATGCAAATCGAATGATATATAGGGACTTTGGTGCACCATTTACGTAAAATCGGACGAAACTATATATGGGAGCTATATCTAAATCTGAACCGATTTTCACGAAACTTAGCACACATTATTCTAGACCTAATTGAATACGATATGCTAAATTTCGTTGAAATCGAAAGATATATAGGGACTTTGGTGGACCATTTACATTAAATCGGACGAAAATATATATGGAAACTATATCTAAATTTGAACCGATTTTTCCCAATTTCAGAAAGTTTATTCTATGCATAAAAAGTTTATTCTATGCAGAGGTAGTTTAAAAAAATCGTACATATGTGTACAAAAGTACTAAATGGTATTTATTATGGTACAAGTTGGATTTAGGTGAATAGATACAGCTGGAGTCTTAAAATTGCGTACTCATGAGTACGAAAAGTACTAAATTTAGTACCATTTAGATTTGGGCGAACGGAGAGAGCTAGTAACCTAAAATATGAAATAATGGTTGTTGTTGGAGTATAGAATTCAGATATCGAAGTATAGTACTTGTGTGTACTATATTTTGTAAAACTTAATTATGTGTGAAAGGATAGAACTAACCAACGAAGTAGCTGCAGCTCGGTACGTTTGACTATGTCCATTTTCAAGAATATATGGTACAGCATATGGTCTTAGGTCTTTCGGAGAATTTTTCTCTCAAATACTCAAAGAGCTGCATCATCTGCTTGCGCAAGTACCCATGTTTCAGATCCATACAACAGCACGGGTAGTATCAGCGTCTTGTAGAGTGTGAGTGTGTTGGTCTGGCGAGAGGTGGTCTTTTTTTTAATTGCTTACTCAGATCGTAGTACCATATGTTGGACGTCTTGCGCGTTGATGTCATCAGACCTTCTCGCCATTTACTGTCAGTTCCTTTTTGGCAGACTCCTTCTCAATTCGTTCAAAGGTGGCTGTTGCTACTCGCAATGTTTGACCCATTATGTCGATGCCGTCGGCATAGGCGAGTAACATTTCTCTTTACATTTGCATCTCGTATGACCTTTTCCAGCAGGATATTAAACATGTCACATGACTGTCTTGTTCGGTATAGAAAGGCTCCGAGAGGCGCTTTCCGTCTTTAACTGCAGATCTTGTACCCGATAAAAATATCCTGCATAGTCGTATTAATTTTGCAGGAATGCCAAACGCAGACATGGCTTTATAAACCTCTGAGCGGATAGGGGTGTTGAATGCTGCTTTATGGTAGAGGATTAGTGGAATATGTCGATATGTTTTTCGTAAGCCTTTTCCGCAGTGTGAAAATCTGGTTTATGGTGAAATTACCAGGTCTGAAGCCGCATTGGTAAGATCCAATAATATCATTGGCCGTGGCTTCAGTCATTCACCCAGCCCACTGAATAGCACTTTTTATGCGATGGGAAGGAGACTAATTCCCCTACACAGGATGTTAACCCATTTAGTAACCCTTCGGAAAGTATGTTTAGAATCCCAAAAATGCCAAATAATGAGAATCAAAACCTGGATCGATATATCATATTTTCAGTACAAAGTATTTCTGGGAGTATTAACATTTATATCGAAATTTCAACACACAGACGAAGATGACAAAATCGAGGGTATAAAAATCAACGCTGGAAGAATACCACTGAAAAACATATTTAAAACAGATATACGCTCGGAGAAAGCTTATGAAAAATTATTAAAAAACAGGCTGTCGAAGGTCCTTACCCTTATGAAGGTCCTTAAAAATATTTTTTGCAAAATATCGACGCTTGCTTATATTCGAATGTTATTATGTTATGTTATTGTTCGAATAATGTTCTAATTATTCCTCAGAAGTATGATTTTTGTTTAATTTTCTCCACCCTATCCCTTGAGCTATAACAACACATTAGAACAACATTGTGGCTGCGCTGCCCTGAAAACTTTGATGTGGTTTACTTGGCCATTGATGTTATCGATGTGGAAATTTTATATCCTTTTTGTCACCTCATAAAAAGCGAAAAGTGAAAACAAATAAAGCCACCCAACTATGTTGATGTTTTTGGTTCGGTATATTCACACAACAAACAGATTTCCCTAGGATAAGTCGTAAAACAACGTATTTTTATGATTGTATATTTTCAATTATGGATAATGAAATGCACTGAACAAACAAGCAACATTATTGGGAATTTGATGGGAAGGATATGGAAGAATTAATGAAAATGAAAATTCACATTGATTTTGTATTGAGAGGGGATGGTGCAACAATTGAGGCGTTATATGGATTAAAAATTGTTTGCGAAAATCGTATAATTTCAAATAAATTAAGTACTTTATCATTACAAGCCATATGTCAATATTCCACAATTGTTTGTATGTAATTAACCTATATTTGTACATATTTTAAAATAAGTTGTGTCGATTTATGGTTTTATTTTCCACAGTCTTTTTTTAATTTTAATGCTAATACAATTATTTTTAATATTCTTTGCACCTTGTATTAATTCATTTAATTTATTCATTGTGTTTTGTATTTTTGTTCTTTTTATGTTTCATTTCATTTGTTCGCCGTTTTGGATTGCAGTCGATCGTGCCATGAGTCCAGCTCAGTCAGAAGATTCGGGATTAGCTCCCGAAAGAGGCACAACATATGCCACAATAACATTACCGCGTGATAACTCCACAAATATGGCAATAACATTGGCTGGTGAGTACGAAGTCCGTAAAATATAACCTTAAAAAAATCGACCCTTAAAAAAATATTCTTCAAACAATCCTAAAAAATATTCTTTAAAAAATCCACGCCTTGTAGTGGCCCTTGAAAAAATATTCTTTAAAAAATCCACGCCTTGTAGTGGCATTTAAAAAAAAATATTCTTTAAAAAATCCACGTCTTGCAGTGGCCTTGAAAAAATATTCTTTAAAAAATCCACGCCTTGTAGTGGCCCTTGAAAAAATATTCTTTAAAAAATCCACGCCTTGTAGTGGCCCTTGAAAAAATATTCTTTAAAAAATCCACGCCTTGTAGTGGCCCTTGAAAAAATATTCTTTAAAAAATCCACGCCTTGTAGTGGCCCTTGAAAAAATATTCTTTAAAAAATCCACGCCTTCTAATGGCCCCTGAAAAAATATTCTTTAAAAAATCCACGCCGTCTAATGGCCCCTGAAAAAATATTCTTTAAAAAATCCACGCCTTCTAATGGCCCCTGAAAAAATATTCTTTAAAAAATCCACATCTTCTAATGGCCCCTGAAAAAGTATTCTTTAAAAAATCCACGCCTTGTAGTGGTCTCTGAAAAAATATACTTTAAAAAATCCACGCCTTGTAGTGGTCTCTGAAAAAATATACTTTAAAAAATCCACGCATTATATTAGCCCCTGCAAAAATATTCTTTAAAAAATCCACGCCTTATATTAGCCCCTGAAAAAATATTCTTTAAAAAATCCACGCCTTCTAATGGCCCCTGAAAAAATATTCTTTAAAAAATCCACGCCTTCTAATGGCCCCTGAAAAAATATTCTTTAAAACATCCACGACTTGTAGTGGCCTCTGAGAAAATATTCTTTAAAAAATCCACGCTTTGTAGTGGCCCCTGAAAAAATATTCTTTAAAAAATCCACGCCTTGTAGTGTGACCCTTGAAAAATTATTCTTTAAAAAATCCACGCCTTCTAATGGCCCCTGAAAAAATATTCTTTAAAAAATCCACGCCTTCTAATGGCCCCTGAAAAAATATTCTTTAAAAAATCCACGCCTTCTAATGGCCCCTGAAAAAATATTCTTTAAAAAATCCACGCCTTCTAATGGCCCCTGAAAAAATATTCTTTAAAAATCCACACCTTCTAATGGCCCCTGAAAAAGTATTATTTAAAAAATCCACGCCTTGTAGTGGTCTCTGAAAAAATATACTTTAAAAAATCCACGCCTTGTAGTGGCCTTTGAAAAAATATTCTATAAAAAATCCACGCCTTGTAGTGGCCTTTGAAAAAATATTCTATAAAAATCCACGTCTTCTAATGGCCCCTGAAAAAATATTCTTTAAAAAATCCACGCTTTATAGTGGCCCTTGAAAAAATATTCTTTAAAAAATCCACGCCTTGTAATGGCCCTTGAAGAAATATTCTTTAAAAATCCACGCCTTATAGTGGCCCTTGAAAAAATATTCTTTAAAAATCCACGCATTATAGTGGCCCTTGAAAAAATATTCTTTAAAAATCCACGCCTTGTAGTAGCCTCTGAAAACACATTTTTAAAAAATCCTTGCTGAAAAAAATATTCTCCAAAAAAAGTTTCCTGAAAAACATGTTCTTAAAAAATCCATTTCATATTTTATGTTGTTTTAAATAACGAAAAATGTCTCCATTAACACTAATTACCAAATTTTGAAAGTACCACATGTTCTTCAAAATATCCACTTCCATATTGCCCTACTTTAAAATAAAACTCAAGGTCACGAACAAAGGCCAAAATGATAAACCTAGATTTCCTATTTCCTTCGAAGAGATATTAGAATTTTTCAAATATTTCGGAAGTACTTCTAGCTAAAAGCAAGTGCATAGAATCTGTTTCCAAAATAATATTTTCAATTCAATCATTCACGAAAACACACACACTCACACAATAAATATTTGTACATAATATTTGAAGTGGTTGGAAAAAAACATACACACAAACAAAAGATACGCATAATTGCGTCATGAAATCATACAACACGAAAACTCAAAAACAAATTTATAGTTTTTCCACTTATGCTGAAAAACAAAAAATATTGAATGAAAAAAAAATACAACACCATTTGACATAAACCGTTGACGGAAATGTCGGAAAATCCAAGGCGCATCGGGTAAAAAAAAGTTCATCACAGATGAAAGGTTTCACTGAACATTAATACATTCGCGCCCAATTTGTGTGTGCTTGTGTTTGGTTTTCCCCTCTTTAAAAGTTTTTTTCAAGTATTTTGTAGTCGAAGGGAAATCTAATAGTTGTGTATTTTGGTTAAGAAAAAAAAAAAAACATTTGGCAACAACCTCAAAGGAAATATCGAAAATAGAAGATTTGAATTTGTTTTTGAAAACTGATACTTTACTGAAAATAAAGGCGGAAACGGTTTTCTGGAGGTTCCCTTGCAGTCAATACCATTTCATTCATGGCTTGTTAGAGAGGTGATGATTTGGCATTTTAAAAGGAAAGTCGAGGGGAGGAAATTAGGTTACCATCGATCGATAAATATTATATGTCAGAGTGAACTAAATCGTCCTAATTCTGTCATAAATAAATTTGTTGATTTGTAATTTTTACGATCTCCAAAATATAATAAATATTTTTAATTCAAATGACCTGCAGTTGGTCGCCACTTAGAACAAAAAATATTCTATAAAAGATCTACGCATTGTAGTGGTCCATAAAAAATATTCTATAAAAGATCTACGCATTGTAGTGGTCCATAAATAATATTCTATAAAATATCCACGCCTTGTAGTGTAAGACCACTACAGGCCATGGATTTTTTTAGAATATTTTTTTTGGCCTCCAAGACGTGGATTGTTTAAAGAATGTTTGAAACGGCGCCCAACTACATGTCATTTGAATTAAAATTATATTGATTTTATACGAAGTTATTTTATTTTAGGGATCGTAAACCTTACAATTCAACATATTTGTTTATGTAGAACAGGAAATAGCGAGGATTTTTAAAAACAATTTTTTTTCAAGACCATTACATTACATGGGTTTTTTATAGAATACTCTTTAAAAAATTCACGTATTCATGTAGTGGGCTTGAAAAAATGTTCTTAAAAAAGCCACGTCTTGTCCTGTTCTACTATAAATAATTTGTATACCCTACACAACTATGTTGTCAGGGTATTATAGCTTTGTGCAGCCCCAAGAGTTTGTAACGCCGCGAAATATTGGTCCTAAACCCACCTTTAAGTATACCGATCGTCATGTCTCGACTAGCTGAGTCGATCTAGACATGTGTGTCCGTCCGTCTGTCCAAAGGCCACCGTTATGGATCAATCTTCACGAAATTTTGTATGTAGGATGGGTTCTGGCCAATGAAGACCCCTATTGTTTTTGGTAAAGATCGGTTAGTATTTAGGGAATGAAATGGACCAAAAACTGAATTTTTGTCGGGTTTTCTGGTCGCTCCAAAGGCCGCAATTATGGCCCAAACATCGCGAATTTTTACGTGGAGAAGGAGATCGGGCCAAAAAAAAAAATCATGTCTGTTTTGATAAAGATCGGTCAATATTTAGCGGGTCAAATGGACCCTGACAAAATTTGTATTCTATAGCGTATGTATTTACTCCTGAAGGACATAGACCCGAGAAGCTGGTAGTATATCCAAGAAGAGTGGTTGTCCTTTAAATTGATACCAATTGTATTGTCCTATGTACTCGGATGTGTGAGTTACACTTAAATATTTATAGATGCTTACGTATTCAAATATTAGTTAGTAACCCATTACCAAACTGGAGGGCGGAAATATAGCGCTGATTGCTTTGATCTGTTCCATGAGGTTCCAGTTACGGTCAAGGACAATTCCCATAAATTTCGGTGATGATCAGATAATAATATTGGGATGAAGTGGACCGAAAAATTAATTTTTTTGAGCTTTGTTTTTTGAGTCGATCTGCCACAATTATAAGCCGAACATCAGAAAACAACCCACAGTGAATGGAATATGGACAAGTAGTTAGAAGGACTGTACTGAATATTCCGAAAATATGTCAATGTATGAAAGAGGTGCTGTTGACCTCTAATCGGGCAAGAGGATGGAACTATGAAGAAATAGAGTTTCGTGGTAGTTGTGTAGGGTATCGTATGGTCGACCCCGTCCGACTATACTGCTCCGCTCACTGGTTTTGAATTGGAAGTTTACGATATTTTTAATTCAAATAATCTGTAGTTGGGCGCCGTTTCAGACATAAGCTTGTATTGAGATCAGTAATGATCTATTGTCTCTGATTCGGTCCATTGGCAGTCATTGTAAGCGAAAAAATCTACCCATTTCTTATACTAATATATGTTCTAATATAGTAAGAGGCCCATGCCAACAAATGTTCTAATATCCATTTCCGCCAAAAAGAAGTCCAGTAAAATTCGTATTCCAAAGCATTAATGCTAATGAGGGAATATACATATTGACACAAAATGTGTCTAATCGAAATATCCTTATCAAACCCCAGATCCATTTCTGCCTTGATGAGTCCTGCGGTCGAAAGAATAACCAATTTGCTCAAAATATTGTATATCGAAGATAAAGACTATCGTTTATGGTCAAGATTTTGAAGACAAAAATAAAAAAAAAACTATTATCCAAGATGACCAACATCGATTAAGAAATTTCTAATATTTTTAAAAAGGACAAACATAAAAAATCGTCATAGGCTGATGACATTTACCTATCGATGGGTTTTTAAACTTCTAACCATATTGATCTCTTGTCTTCACTATAAGTACTGAGAAATTTGCAGTCATGGAAAGACTCCATTTGACTATTAGCAGGTCTTGCTTGTTTACTTTTATACATGCATTTAGGGGAAATGAATATCCTTCAACACACCTCTAGGAGAGTATGTGAAGAGTTTATAACTAAAAACTGTTGAAGGTCTTCAATTTGACCTGTAAAACAGTATCTTCCTATGTAGAATCTTTAAAAAGTATTTTGGAAGTCAAATATTTGTTTTCGATATATAGAATGTA